GCATATATATTTCTTATTCCAAAAACAAAAGAACAAGAATGGCTTACAAACAAAGTTCATAAACCAGGATGACCACTCAGAATCATTGTTTCTTGCATAACGAAAAAAATAAGAGTTCTTATTTAAATTTTCACACATGTTGATTTCTCTTTGGAAGTATTTCGTGACTATACATCATCACTTTTGTTATTAAGTAAAGTATATAATAATCAGAAATCAATGAGTCTAAAAATGATCGACAATTTAAGAAATTTAATTTTAATTATTCCGATTGATCTGATCAAAATAATACTAATATTGGTATAATTAATATTTTACTCAATATTTTACTTGCTCATGATTAAGATTAAGACCTATTCTCATGAGATGTTTCTAATCGAATCACTGATAAAATTTAACGACATTAATGTTGCACTTCTGTGGTTCCTTTACTTCAATAATTCACAAAATGCAACATTTTCGTAGCCAGACTATCAGATAGGTCCTTTTTCTCTCCATATGGATCGTAAGATTTCTTTCTAATTTCTCTTTTACTTCATTTCTTCATGCCACTCAACAACACCACCCATTGAGCGAAATAACAAAAGCGGCTGCTAAATAATAAAAACGGATTATAGAACTGTCGTCGGCCGCATTATTCTACTTCTTTCTCGTGACCCTAAAATGTCAAGGTATTGTAGGATCAAACTATAATCTGCCAATTGATCAATCATTCTAAGAACCATTCTGAGAACGGAAAATTGAATAGCAATTCATAATCGGTTTTACGGTCCGTTTTTAAAGTGTTGAAAGAGTATTACAAATAATAAATCGCAACGAATTATTTTGAAACAAAAAAAGTGCAGAAAACTCGAACAACAAGCTGTAATATTTTCAAATGAAGACTATTGTATTTAACCTACTTTATTACCTACTTCGAGATATTGTGGTTTAGATTCTCATTATATTCCTCACGCTTCATTAATAGCACAAATTGTCCATGAAACTTTTTCTTCTTTTGTCCATCAATGAAAAGAAAATTGAAATTAATTATTTTATAATTACACAAAAAATGTGACAAATAAAATGTGACCGCAGACTAATTTGCGCAACATATTTGTATTAAACTAATAATAAATAACCGTAAAAAAAAGCCGTAAAAAAACCTTTACGAGAGGTTCTGCTACGAGATTAAGCATTTGAGTAATCCTACGTAAAGAAAACTATTTAAGATCCTATCGGCAGGCGCATATAAAAACAGTTGTTTGTATTTTGCTGCTGTTAAACATCCCGTGCAAATGCGCACGTGTAAATATCGGAAAAATCGAAAGACGATCCATTCACACCTGCGCCGGGCGCCTTTAAATACGCTGTTAAATCTGTTTACGACAAGCATCGCGAGCATGCAAGCATACCGGGTGTTCAAGTAGCCGTGTAAATGTTATCGCGCTTCCGGATCGAGAAAGAGAATACTCATGCGCTTCTTCTTTACGTACATGGGTGCACCTAAGTTTTCCATCGTCGTAGATATGCGTATACGCCGATGTTCCTCTCAAACCTCGGCATTCTTTCGTCCACATTAAACGAACGGTACGTCAACCGTCCGTTCATCTCGTGTACACCTATATGCGTAGCCAAGACTGCGAACGACGGAGGAAGAGATTCGCCGTGCACGCCGATGACTCTACAGATTTCTCGTACCTGACGGTTAAACGAAGGGAACCTTCGACGATGATCGCGCCGTTCATTATAGAGATAAGAAGCAAAGGCTCTTTAATAGAATTCCGAGCGACTGGTTATTTTGTATCTTCATTAACTTTTTCGTTAACCGATTCGTTATTGGACGGTGAGCGAAAGAAAGAGAAGAAAAGATAAGAGAGTCGACCTGTAATTCGTGCGCACACGTCTTTTCTCGATTCGAATGACTCATACCGATCGCAAAAACGAGATTGAAAGCGCACAAAAAAAGTTATACGTATCGAAAATAAGCGCACACACATCGGTGACGGATGCCGAAATATTTTACTTGCGAAACAACTCACGGTAAAAAGAGGAGCGCTTGATGTCCGTCGATGATAAGTAATCACCGATGACGTTAATTAAATAAGCGTGCGACAGTGTGCGTATGAGATAAATAGACTTGAATAAGATATTTTGATCCTTAGCATATATAAGAAGTTTGCAAAATATTTAATATTTAATTATATAAAAGCATAGTTGCAGCAAGTGCTCGAACTGTGATTACCGAACTCGATAAAATATCGTAAATATCTGAGCGGTACAAGAAAGATTTCACTGAAACCGCAGTTGTTGCGATTTTTGTCGCAATTAATGCACTTAAGATACGCGCAAGCAAGAGCGCTGGTCACATAAAGCAATGGAAAAAAGTTGTTTTACGAGCTGTTGCCTAGACGCATAATGATGTAAAAAGGACACACACATCCGCTGTCCATAATTCAAAATCTTCGATCCACGTTTAGCGTTTATAGAAAAAAAGATATTTTTTGTAATTAATAGATTTTTAATTCATACTGATATCATTAAAATTTACGATACCGATACGTAAGATAAAAAAACGGAAAAAATGGTTAATGATTTCAAAAAATACATAAATAAAAAAATTTGCGCGTAGAGCTTTCATTTTATCACATAGAATATTTGAAGAAAAGTGCAACATTATTAACAGTTGTAATAAAATTGTAGTTTTTTTCTATAAATAAAATAAAAATTTTTATGAATTTTTTTAACTCAGTACATTTACACTCATAGGTTTTTTTGTTTTGAATTGCTGTTTCAATTTAGAATGTACAACGACGTAATTGCTAAACATTCGGCATTTCTGATATCAAATAATAAAAGTCATTAGTAATCTTTACCGGAGCAGCAAGATAATATAACGAGCTAATAATGTTAATGATAATAAAAAGCGAATCGCAAGGATGTTCCAGTCATTCGCGACGGTCGTGTACACCGGATGTACACCCTAGAGTATGTACGGAGCCCGGAACGTACCGCAAAAGAAAAGTATCTAACGATTCCACGTATCTACGTCCGCGTTGCATGCAGCTGCGTCCTGCGCCGCAATCGGCAATAACTGCACGTTGCAAGGGGGATGTCCGCGCGCGATTCGCAGCCTACGGCAGCATGAACAGATAAGAAACGGAGAAAACATTCGCGAGTTTCAACCGTGGCCGAACCCATTCGACCGAGAGAGACACGTCTGGACTACTATCCGGTACGAACTCTCACGTCGCGCGAACAGGCCGGCCAATTAACTGTTATTATGAAGGATTTCTTGCGCGTAAACAGGGCGCGTAGCATCCTAAACGAGCTGTAGGCGCGACGACGATCCGTAGGATTCGCGGTAGCCGCTACGAGCTCGCGAAATCGCGAATGTTCGTCTTGTTCGAAACGCAATCGGATGACGTTGGTCGAATGATACGTGAGAAGCGGTCGTATTTCTTACGACTTAAAGCAATAAATAAATAATTTCAATAAACACGAATTTACTTCTTACAATCTAGGGCAATGCATAAACAATGTTCAACGGATTATTCTAATACGATGCAAAATATGCTGAATTAGATCAATGGATTCGCTTAACGATGACATAAATGTTAGTTGATGGATACAACGATAACTCGCCACAAAATAGCAACACACTCGTAAAATATATTTTTAATGCTCGTCGTCATTTGCATCCTCGTCTGCCATCATCAGTTATCCATGCACAAAACGTAAAAAAAAAAAAACTAAATGTATTCGCGTGCGGTTCCGGTTCGAATGAATTGTCGTTGAATGGACGGCCACGTCGGTCCCGCGTGCGGCCGTCCGAGCACGATAAATTTCAGCGACTGACGTGGGATTAGATTTCGAGTGAAGTCGGTACACGGCCGAGTATTCGCATCGGAGAGTACTTAACGTCGTGTAACGACTGCGGGAGGTTCGTGTCGCGGTCGCGACTCGCCGCGATCGCGTTGATTAATGTCCCCAGCCGGCATATCTGGGACCCCTGACATCGCCGATGAAGCATAACGCGATGTCAAGGATAGCTCCTCAGTAGCACGACGGCTTTGGGAAAATGAGTCCGTGGAGATCCTTAACGACGTCGGGGAATTGCAGAGGGAAACACAGCGTCGAGGGGGGTCGTCGAAATTCGCGAAACCGCAACGCTCGCGGCGACACGAAGTTTTTATTATCCGCACGGTTACCGTTACACCAGGACTGTTTCACTCATTAGACACTGAAGAATTGCCTGGAGTCTATGAATTTTATATTAAGGACTGTAAAAAATTTATTGCCACTAAAATATGAAGAGAAAATTGAGTTATAGTGTTGCTTGGTCGGCGTCTGGAAATTGCAATAAGCTAAAAGTAATGAGATAAAATCGTTCTGCAGTAAGAAAATTTCAGACATTTTTTAATGCGATTAATAAAATGTGGAAAATCAAACATACATTTTCTATTTATTAGTTATTTATCTTTGGATGAAAATCCACACTTGTCGATATTATGCTGATATTAGAGATGTAACCACACGTCTATTGCGCAATGTCCAGTCACATTGCGCAATCAAAATTAATGTTAATGCGACGTGTTTAACTTAGAATTATGCGTAAATAAAAAACACATAAACGACAGTTAAACAAAATCTCAAAAAAAAAAAAATAATAAAATAAAATTACAAACAGTTCTTTGCATAAAAAACCAATAAAAGACTCGAAATTACGACGTTATTAATAACAACTGTGTCAGACCTGAATACCAGAAAGTCGTAATCGTGAGATAAACATTGTTACCTTGGCGCGCGGGGACACGTGCAGTCTATTCAGAGGCTCGCATTTGTCCACTAACGATTTTACCCGTACCTACCGATCGTATTTCATCGCGCTAATCCTCGCGCGCTTTAATCGTAGAGTCGCGATTATTCATCAGCATCTGAATTTACGACGGTCAACGCGAGGAAATATAGGAACCGGTGACACTCGGGATTAAGTTCCGCGCATCATCGGAGAGAAAATAAGCAAACAAGAGAAAAATATTCTGCGAAGAGAAGAGAAGACGAAGAGAAAAGAAGAAAAAAAAACGAATTTTTGCGCTTAGGTTAACGGCGCGCGTAATTCACCGCACACCTCCGCGTGCGAGGTGCCTGGCGCATTAAGAGGATGATTCATAATATTGTTAATTATGTTAATTGACGGTGCCCCATCGTTCCGGCTGCACACTGCCGCAATATGCGCGAGCCTTAATAGCGCTGCCACGTCGCCTCGCTGTCACGTTACGAATGACGCCGCGGTGACTGTGTGGCATCAGGCAGCACTCTCGAGGTCTCGGAGGCTTTCCTAAGAAAAAAACGGGAGAAAGAGAAGGAGAGAGACTTCGCGTAGTAACTTATGTTACTGGCTAGAAAGTATGATAATCTGGCGACACGTGAGAAATTCCATCCGAACGTCGTTACCGTATCTTTATTCATGCGGGTCGAAGAGGTTTCCGCGCGCGTTAACTTCGGGGATACTATAATAGAATAGGTACGTCAGTAAGGTGACCATCGTTATAAGCACAGTTTTGAATTGCGATGATTCCGCGACTCATGAATAATTTGGCAATTTTATTCAATATTCATCGCACGAAATAGCTTCCAAAATTTGAATTTTATCCGACACACTAAGTAAATAAATACATAAGGAAATTAATATTTTCGTTGACGAAGGAAACAGAAATTACCCAACGACATGCATTATTCATTCGGTTATTTATTGCTTATCTAATTTACTCGCGATTTCGTACGACTGTCTTAGATAGTCGGAGAGCCCAGTGAAAACGTGTCACGTAACGAATGATCTTCGGCTGGGACAATATAAATCGCGACGCGACGATTGTAGAAGCAATTAGACACGACGATGATGTGCGGACGACGTCACGCGAGTATAGATCGTTAACTGCTCGGAAATGAAAGCGTTAAAGTGCGCCGCTAATCCTTCCTGAATTTCGCGACGAAAAAGGTCGACAGCCTCGCGATGGCGATCACCTCGTGGAATGCCGCGAGCGAAACGTACCTAGATCGCATTTATGATCGTTTGATCTTTGAATACGCTGCAAGAATTTCTCGTGCGTGTTACAGGCACGGGCGATTAATTATGACGAGGGACCGCTCCGGCCGTGCGCACACGGTGCGAAGATATTTAATTTAATTTCTATCGCGAAGTTATTAGCATTCGAAAATGTTATAGGTTGTGTTGCAACACACACAGTTACATTTCTTGAGACGGGAGCGCGCTCGGGCGTATAAATCCCACTGTCGTAAACCGCGCGCCTGTTAATGCGATTAATAAATTAGCGCCAACTGTGTGCAGTGCGTTAACTCGGCATTATTATTGTACTTGCAAATGATTTAATCTAACTAGCACGCAGGGCGGCGGCAGACAACGAGCGAGTGTGTAGTTTTGGAAAAAGAAAAAAATGTCCTTACGATTATCCGCGCAAAGATCAAGGTTTCTCGTTACTGCTCGATGCAACGCGATTACGATGTCTTTACATAAGTCACGTTTTCTTTCCTTCATTTTAATCCGATATGATAAAAAAAATTACCCTATACACATGTCGGACATGATGATAAAATCACGCTGCAAGAAAGATTACTGTGTACGAGCAATATTACTCGCATATCTCAATCGACAATTTTTATTTGCAAAAATTTCGTAATCGCGCAGTACGCCGCGACAATGAATTTGTCTATCTAACGTTACAGGTGCAGGAGGCACCAGTATCGCCGGCGTCCTCCTCTCTGAGCAACCAAAATCAAAACGAGAGCGAGCAGGTCCTACTGGCGACCATGCAACCGGTGAACGTACTCGATTTGCACGAACCGCCAACTGTACTCCACTCGAAATATCATCACTATCATCGCCATCATCATCATCACCATAGTCATCATCATCATCAACAGCAACCGCACATTCAGGCCAACGAATCGGATGACGTACAACATCGCGCCGCAGCCGCGGACGATCCCGACGATCGGGTGACGCCAGACGCAGAAGCGGCTGCAGCCGCCGGTAACGCGACGCTTGGCGTCGGTCAACACAAAATGATCGATTTAATCTATAACGACGGGCAAAAAACAGTTATGTACACGCACGATAAAGAGATTATCTACGAGAATGAGCATGCAGACCGCGTACAAGTGGTCGAATATCCGCCACCGCCGCCATCGCCACCATCGCCGTCGCCGCCGTCGGCCACGGGTGTCGCGAGAACGGCAACGGGTCTGTTGCCATCAAACTGTGTCACCCCCCGAACCATCGCGTCGGCCGCTTCTGCTCTGCAACTGCAACACTATCAGCAATTGCAACTGCAGCACGAAGATGATTTACCGACAACGGTGCGCCACGCCGTCAACGCGGCTGTGCCGAACTGCGGCGCAGCGACCACCACGACAACAGTTCTCGTGGTGTCAGAACTCGTAGCGGCTGATCCAATCGCCAACACAACCGCGGCCACGCAGCAACTCACACTCACTGCTGCCGCAGCGTCCCTCCGTGCCGGGTAAGTCTGCCGCTTTCAACGTTTCTTCAATTTCTCTTTTATCCGCCTAATTAATTCTCTCTGCGATACCTTCTTTACTAATCATTTTTTCCCTCCTTGATATTCCTTTTCAATTCAAGCCTTTGTTCGACTGATCAAAAGGTCGATGACAAAAGTAAATTTGTGTTTTAAAACAATGAAATATTTATAAGATGCAAGAATTACACTGAAAGCTATTATCTTAGTGTAATAATAATTATGTAGTGTAGTGTAGCGTAATGTAATTTAATATGAAGATGAAACAACTTTAATTCATTCGTGTTAAAAAATTTTGAAAATAATTCTATGCAGCCGAGCATTACATATTTACGTCACTAATTTTATACGCGTATTTCATATAATTAAATCAATCCTGTGCGTGCAACACTCGTCCGATGACGATGTGTTCGAGATGTGCGCCCGACAGGCTGTAATTCATCCTCTCCCCGATTATTGACTCACAATGCATCTTTGCGGTTTGTCTATCTGTACAGTAGATGCAACCGCAACGCAGACACGAATATATAGTCGATGGGAACTTAGACGTTTTTCATTAACACATATATGCATGAAGTAGATATATACCTATGTCACGAGATATTATTGTATACGATGGTCCGCCATGCACATTCGTAACTAAAATTAGGAGTCTCACTAATTATTCTCACTGATCGATACTGTGCTGTAGAGATAATATATAAGATAATATATAGAGATGATATATAAAAAAAAAAAGATTAACATGAATGAATCATGTTAGTAACGGTGTAAAAAATATTAGAAGAAAAAAGCTGGATACAAATACTTTCCTCGTCGAGATTATCTAGAGCTGAACAAAGTGATAATATATTAAAATGAGAAGACACTGGCATACACAGCGAAGGTCAGAACGAAAAAATGAGAGGATAAGCAAAATGTTAACTTTTTGACAGCTTGATACTCACAAATAAATATGGAGATTCAGTAGTTCGTTAACGAGCATATTTACGATATTGCGACTCTGAAGCCAAAATAATAATTGACGACTTTTACAAGTTACGTGAAACACACCAATCCGACTCGCAGTTAATATTTGTCAGAAACTGGAGATTTGCAAAAATATTTAATTTATTTGACTTATTCTTGAAAATGATTACACATCAGGTTAGATTAGCCAAATTAGAATAAATATTTATTCATATTAGGCGGCAATTAAAAAAAAGATTTTAATTACAGGTAGGAAACTAATGATGCCCATGCGCAAAATCTTATGTAAAACAGCAAATGATAATTTCTCTTTTTATCAAATTTTTTTATCACTTGTAAATCATTATAGACTGATTATTTATTCGAACAGTAGTATGTCGCAAAAAGAATCGGAATGAGAGTAAATACAGCGGTAGAGGAGCGGTATGCTATCTGGCATGTATCAGCGCTGGTGTGTATCAGCGTCGACAATTAACAATTATTGCGCGCATTTAGCCGCGAGCGGCGCCGATAAGTCACGTTGCTACGTAGAATTTATTATTACGATGCGAATGCGGGACTTTACCATCTCACACACACACATATACCATATATAGTCTGATATACCAGAGCGCGAGTTACGCACCGGTGTATGCGCATCCTGCACACGCGGAATATCGGAGCCAATAACCATCAACTATGCACACCGGCGCGACCCACCTTGCACTTTTGTAATAAATAAAAATCAGCCGCAATTAATCCGCGTGAGATATGCACGTAGAAGCCTTGAGTGCTACGGGAAAAAAAAAGACCGCGCCACTTCTCACGAGCGTTTATTTTTCGCACTCACCCCGTTATTACGAAGCAAGCATTATACGCTCGCCCCTCGAATTCCGCTCGAATGAGATCCTCTCTCGCGACTCGTTCACTAAACGGACAGCCGCTGCTTCTCCCACCTTTCGATTTTTCGTGAAAATACAGTCGGCACACATAGGATTGAAAGATTCAGCCGACTCACTGACGAGAAACGACGACTACCTCTCTCGCTAAGAGATGTCTCCATATAGCGAACCTCAAAAATTCACATTCCCTTTCACTTCGCACCTTCCTGCGCGTCGCATGAGTTTCGACGACGATCGAGAAAGAGTAAAGGAGACTTTCGAGAGATCTCATTAATTCATTCACATTTTCCATGTTAGAATTTCTTATAAACAATATTTGCAGACTAGTTTTTTGATTAAATTTATTACTTATTGCCATATATTTTTCGTCGCCATCGCAATGTTCTTCAAGTAACAAAATTATTCAGAAGCATAAAAATATTCAACTTTCTTATGTTCGCCTTCAAGCGACACAATAAATAATTTCCTTCGTGACAAAGAAAATGTTCCGAATTTGAATTCTTCCGTTCTGCGATCGAATGAGAAGAGCAAGAAAAAAAAGCTCTTAAAGACTCCTCTATTTTCTTTTGTCTAGTTCTCCACGATCAGAACGCCACACACTCAGCAAAAAACAGTCCCTTGCGTTTTCTCATTCCCTTTCTGTTGATCGTCTATAGCCGTAGGCATTAAAAAAAAAGAGAAAAGGAATATCAGGAACCATACCTTTCCGTTCACCCATGGCCTCAAGAAGGAAGTAAGGAAACGAGTTTCTCGCGAAAATTTTCGTTTCCTTTCATTTGCTTCATAAAATGCTTCATAAAATCGATTTTATAAATGTAAAATAAAACTGGTAACTTTCACATTTCTTTTCTAAATTATATGAATTTTATGAGAAAAGCAATAATTAGTATTAATTTTCAAGTAAATATAAAATGATTATCTCATCATAAGTAAACGGAGCAAGGTGTAAATCAATAATTATAGTTTATAAATTCGTTTCATAACCGTCAGCATATGAAGTGAAGAGAATATATATATATATATATACTCTTCTTTCTCGACTGGTCTCGTCCTTTTAATTCAAGTTTCTTCCAAGAGAAGATTATCCGTCAGAGCATGCGGATTGATCCATCTTAAATTGAGAACCTGTCTCTCGAATTTCGCCGTCGGGCGAGCAACTGCGAACGAGTTTAAGCCGTGGAATAAGTAGCTTAAAGGGGGACGCGCGGGGAAGACAGCTCTCGCTTTCGACAGCTTCCAAATCGACCAACTGAATTTTATCCCGGCAAATCGCGTGCCAATATTATATTATACTTACAATTAATAGCTATGTCTACAAACCTTTTGACATGATTACGAAATACGATTCTTTTTTCTCGATAATTGATGTACATTTAATTAAAATTGTAGATTTTAATTTACATAAAGCGCGCGCGCATCTATGAAGAAATTGTCAATGACGGAAAAAATTATATTTTTATCATAATCATAATTCCGAATTGACGTACGCGATTATGCGTTTGTATGTGCGTTACATATTAATGGCAAAAAGAAAAAATACTGTTATTTCACACGTGTTAATTTATAGTCTGCTATTTTCTGCTACCTCCTTTTGCACAATGCGATACAGCTCAATATACGCCTATGCACGTCGTTGTCTTTTTCAATTAGTCAAACGCTTCGAGATACGTCTCGATACGCTCACTCGAGCTAATCGATCGTTTCCAACGACAATGACGGCTTTCCTGCCATTTTACAAATAACGCACGACAAGCTGGCCCATTGCGCTGATCGATCACCGTCTTTCTTCCCCACGAATCACGGCTACGTTAGCCGATGTTATCGGCAACCGTAGGTACATGTTCGTACACCGCGCTAAAATAATGGATATTAATAATGTCGAAAGAGAGAGAGAGAGAGAGAGAGAGAGAGAGAGAGAGAGAGAGAGAGAGAGAGAGAGAGAGAGAGAGAGAGAGAGAGAGAGACGACGTAACGTACGTACGTAACGTACGTACGTACGTACGTACGTACGTAC